TCATATGATTAAAAAGAGAGTAGTTTGAAAAAACCAAACCAATAACTAGTTTATCTAATTTTTTAAATATCTATAAATTAGTTATTTAATTTTTATATTGAGAAATGAAGGTTGAAGTTGCTGGTTAATATTTTTAAAGTCATTATTGTTAAAGGCAGCATAAACAGAAAGGGCAAACAGGTAAAGTAACACACAATGAGACCTTTATATATATGTGACAAGTTGCTTTAATAATTGAACCGAGACTTCTGTCATCATATTTATTGTCTTTTACGTTTCTCTCCTTTTTCTCACTTTCACATTCATACAAATACAAATTACAATCAAATCAATCCATCTCTTTGCTCAAACTAAAGTTGATGTCACATGCTAAAGGATATACTAATCCTCTAGTTATGATTTTTTTCTCATCCCTTGGTCATACTTAATTATTTATAATAAATAAGTACTATTTACGGTTTTAATTATAAGAACTGATTGATTAATTTGATAAAATTAAGAAAATAAGTTAAATTAGTTATTTGTAATAAATATGTATTGTTTTTCCTCAAACATCACTGCTATTCTACTAATCAAGTTTATTGGTTAGAACTAACATTATTGAAGAACTATCTTGGAAAATATGCATTTATATAAGAGATAAAATGAATTAGGATATTATATTTATGACCAAAATAAAAGTCAAACGGGATCTTATACTCCTCCGGTCTTAAATATAAGACTCTTTTTGTAGTGTAGTAAATTACACTACAAAAGAGTCTTATATTTAGATTACTACACTACAAAAAGAGTCTTATATTTAGGATCAGAGGACTACAAAAGGAGTCTTATATTTAGGACTGGAGAAGTATTAAAGACCGGAAGTAGTATTATCTTTTTTGAAATATCCTTACTAATCAAGTGATATTTTAAAAAATATTTAACATCTACAGCTACTTCGAGAACTATCTTAAAAAAATTAATAAATATAATAGACAAAATAAATAGGATATTATATTTAAAATCAAATTAAAAGTCAAATTAACTCTCTTGTTAAGAACCAAAACTAGTATAATTTTGGTGGGTGTGGGGGGAGAATTATACTTCAAATTGTCTTTTTATTTTCCGCCAATACTTCTCCACATTGTCAATTAAAAAGCCTATCAACTAATTAGAAAATATTTTTAAAAAATTTCTCCATATTGTCAATTAAAAGCTTATCAACTAGTTAGAAAATATTTTTAAAAATTAGTTAAATTTATTTTGTGTAAAAATGCGTGTTATTTTTGAAAAAAAAAAGCATAGTTCCCTTTAATATTTACATTGCAATCTGGAATTTAATAGAAGGAATGATAATTGAAATAAAAAAAGATTAATTTTTTGCTAAAAAAATTAAATTATAAATATAGAAATTTGTGATAAAAATTTTGAATTTTCAGTTAGAGGTCTCATTTTACAATAAATTACTTACAAGATCTTTATTTGTCATTCTCCCAAATCCCAATTTAAAAAGGTAAAAAATATTCATTTTACAATCAATACAAATATTTTTAAAAAATAATAAATAGAAAAAAACAAATAAATAGAAATCTTACATTTATGATTAAAATAGACATCGTAGCTAATTTGTATATCTAGAATCGAAAGGAATATTATGAAAATCATCATTTAATATAATATATGCTTTTTTGCCTACAGGTCTTTAGCGTAAAAGATCATTTTAAATAGCATATAAATTACTTCCAAACTAAAAATTCAATGACAGGTTGTGACACTGCTCTATCTCTTCTCCAAATCCTAATTTTGTGTTTGCAGTATTGTACTTCATTCTTTATGTGCGCAATGACAAATACAAGAACGTGAAATTTGCAAAACTTCGTATCAGAATTCGCTACAATATTTTAATTAATTTTGATAACAACTGATTTATAAATAAAACATATTTTTGTAAATTATATTAAGATGTATTCAACATTTTGAAATATTTTTTCTATTTTGTAATGCATCAAGTATCTTAAAAATATTTTTTAGATGTATCCAATATCTTGAAATATCTTCTTTGCTTTGACAAGGGATATAGCAAAAAATATTTGAAATGCTAGACATACTTGAAAAATATTTTAAGATGCTGAATATATAAAAAAAATATTTCAAAGTGTTATATTCGTAAAATATTTTAAAGTACTGAATTCATCTTAACCTAACAAATAATTATTAAATATCAATATTATTTATTTTGTACAACATTACTCTTTTTTTTTTATGTGCATAAATATCTTCCTATTAAGGACAATTCTTTTCGAGATATTGTCAAACATTAAACGTGATACCCACAATGTAGTGAAAACATTACTCTATGATCCTGTTTGGTACGAAGCATTAAAAATAAGAGGTAAAGATTGAGATTGGAATTGAAAAAATAATTAAAGAGTATTTAGTATAAGAAATTTCTTGTTACGTAGAATCAGGCAATCTCATATAAATGAAAATGAAAAATACCATCTCCTACCCTTGTATTTCCTAATCCCATATATATAAATTTGCCTAAGGGAAAACGATATTGGAAGTACTGTATTTTTTTTTAATTTCAATTTGGTACCAATGTTTTTTTTGTTCTTAACTAAATATTTAATTTTGCTCAATTAACATCATTAATCCTTATATAGAGACTAAAAATGCCAATAGAACAAAGTTATAAGAGCTAATGTTGCTAAAAAAAATAAAATTAAATGTTTAATTAAGAGGAAAAAACACATAGGTACCAAATTAAAAATTGAGAGAAAGTAGAGGTATCCATGATATGGTTTTCCCTTTGCCTAATTCCAAGTAATAAGCAATAACTAATAGTAAACGCTCTTTTAGTACTACCTCCGCCCTCCGGTCCTTAATGTAAAAGTTCGTTTGATTTTATTTTGGTCCCAAATATAATACTTTAATTTACTTTGTCTCTCATATCTATCTATTTCTTCCCAAGATAAGTTTAGCTAATACACTTAAATAATAAAAATATTTTAGAAAAGATAATACCCATTTATTATAAATAACTAACTTAACTAATTTTTTTAATTAACTCAAATTAATCAACTACCTCTTATATTAAGAATCAAAGATAGGTAGTATATGTTTTCAACTTCAATCATAATCTTTATTTTTCATTTTAAATGCTTTGTACCAAATCAACCTATAAGAAATAGCTAGGCTAAACTTGGGAACTTGCCGTTCTAGATGGGAGAAAAGATGCACGTTAATATATACAGCTTCCTGTCTTTTTTTTGGGTAGTTCTTCCTGTCTTTAATATAGAGTTAATTGACTAATTTGAATAGATTAAGAAAATTAATTATATTAGTTATTTGTAATAAATAGATGTTGTTTTTTTCCTCAAAATTATCATTATTCATTAAGTATATTGACTAAGACTATCATTAGTAAAAAAACTACCTTGAGAAAAAAACAGATAAATATAAAAGACAAAGTGGATTGAGATCTTATATTTAGGATTAAAATAAAAGTTAAATGAGCTCTTATTATAAAAACTTATGTTTATTATTCATACGATTATATTGTAACCAAAACCCACAGTGTTCCACTGTTCCTAACATATAAAATTATCGTTATATGAGCTATTTATATTTATTTGTGACATGACTTTGTTGACGTGTTACACTATCTCAACACATTTTTAACAAAACCATTTGTATTGTGTGTGGTTGACAAATTAATTGCTTGTTTGGTAAAGGAGGATACTTATATCAATTTTTTTAATATTTAAATTCTCTCGTTATAGATAGACAACGTGACAGTACAATAAATGTTACTACCTCATCTTCTAATTATAAAAACTAATTGACTAATTTGAGGAGATTAAAAAAATAAATTAAATTAATTATTTGTAATAAATAGTTATTGTCTTTCCTAAAATATCCTTACTAATTAAGTGTATTGATTAGAACTATCACTATTAGAAGGACTATTTTGAAAAAAATGCATAAATATGAGAAACAAAGTGGATTGAAATCTTATATTTAGGATCAAAATAAAAATCAAATAATGTCTTATATTGAGTATCAGAGGTAGTATTTTTTAAATATTAATATTTCATAATGTTTAATCAGAAACTCACATACAAAATATACATGGCCATGTTTTTTATTTATTAGCAAGATACATGGCTTTGTGTCATAAGAAATTTGATATAATAAATATAAGTAACTTAATGCACATTTAACGCCAAAAAAACTTAGGGAAAATTACACTCAGGTCCCACAGAGTACAATTAATATAAAAAAGGTCCCATGAAATCACAAAATGATTCTGAAGTCCCCAGGGACCTGTGTGTAATTAATTCTAATTGTGAAATTACCTACTTATCCCTGTTAATTTTATTGCAACAATTCGTTTATAATCTCAACAATGGCTGTTAATAACCCGAGAAGACGTGATTGACAACCTCGGCAGTGCTCATGACAACTCACTCTGTGGAATGCCAGGGGCATTATTGAGGTTGTTAACCACCTCTTCTCGGGTTGTTAACAGCCACTGTTGATGTTGTAAATAGGTTCTAATTTTATTGCAGCAATTCGTTTACAATCTCAACAGTGGCTGTTAACAACCCGAGAAGACGTGATTGACAATCTCGGCAGTGCTCATGACAACTCACTCTGTGAAATACCAGGGGCGTTGTTGAGGTTGTTAACCACCTCTTCTCGGGTTGTTAACAGTCACTGTTGAGGTTGTAAATAGGTTCAAATTAACAGGGGTAACTACGTAATTTCACAATTAGAATTGATTACACATAGGTCCCTGGGGACTTCAGAATCATTTTGCGATTTCGAGAGACCTTTTTGATATTAATTATGCTCTGTGGGACCTGAGTGTAATTTTCCCAAAAACTTAATGCAAATTTAAGGCAACTTTATTATTCTTCAATTACTTTTGTACGAGTCAAGTCAGCCAAGTCCGCTCAAGTGCTTCCTTCTTAGTTCTTACGTCCATCACTGAAAAGCAGAGGAAATAGCGCTTATTGTAAATCCTCCTTCATTTCTCTGAATTTGACCCATTGATTCGATCACACACCTGAACTCTTTCCCTTCGCAATTCACCCAAATCACTTCTGTCTATTCTTTCCACGTTCAATTGAAGCTGAAGAAGAACGTGGTCCTAAGGAAGAGGAGACCGGGATCGCCACCATCTTTGACTTGAACCTGCAAAATTTTATCCGTTAGGTAGCACTCCCTCAAGTTCTATCTTCTTTGTCCACTTATCTTTTTTATTTAGTCAGTTATTTATTTATTTTGTAAGTATAAATATGCTTTTTACTTTGCGTTCTTGTGTTTTGACATTGACGATTGTAAAGCTATAGTAGTTTGTGACTCTTGATTATTTGTCTAGTTACACGGTTTAGGTGCTGGAATTTTTCTTCCTCTAGAACTGAATGGCTCTTGATTAATAACCTCTTTTTGATTATTAAACTTAGTGAAAAGCAAAAAGTTTATTAATTCAAACTTTTGATGGTGCTATGTTATCAGTATCAGTTTGTGAACCTTGATTAGTTTTCTAATGGTTTCAGTTACCCTTGCACAATATATACGTTAAGAATTTGTGTTCTAAGCTTTTAACCTCAGTTCACCACGTAAAAAATTCTGGGAAATGTGCATGTCATATTTGTGGATTCTGGATATAACAGTTAAAATTGATGCCTTTGTCAGGTTCACTGAGTTAAGATGACAGAGATCATTGTTTCCATTGCTGCTAAAGTCTCAGAACATCTGGTGAATTTAACCATACGTCAAGGACAGTATTTGTTTCGTGTCAACAAAATCATGAAGAAACTTGAGACTGAGAAGAAGGCCCTGACTTCAACTCATGATCATGTACAGAAAAGAGCTGAAGAAGCTAATCATAAAGCAGAAAACGTCAATTATGTAGTTTCAAGTTGGCTGAATGACGTGATGGAACTCATAAAAGAGGTGGAGCAGTTGGAACAAGAAATAATGCTCCACAGCAGCAGTTGTTTGCGAGGGAAGTTTCCTACCAGGAGCAGATACATTCTGTGCAAGCAAATGGAAAAGAAAACAGAAGCTATGATGCAGCTGAACAAAAAATGTCACTTTGAACCATTTTCCTTCCCTGTCCCGATTCCAGATATAGAGCATTTCTCTTCTGGAAACTTTGAGTATTTTAAGTCTACAAGATTGGCTGCAGATCAACTTTTGGAAGCACTAAAAGATGATAGTAGTTATATAATTGGTTTATATGGGATGGGAGGCTCCGGGAAAACAACACTGGTGAAAGAAGTGGGTAAGAAAGCAAAAGAATTAAAGCTATTTGATCATGTTGTATTTACCACTGTGTCCCAGTCTCCAAATGTCATGAAAATTCAAGACGAAATTGCTGACTTGTTGGGCCTGAAATTGGATGAAAAAAGTGAAGCAGGGAAAGCAAGGCGGATATCTGTGAGATTACAAAGTGGCGAACGTATTCTCATAATTTTGGATGATGTTTGGACAAAGCTCAACCTTGAGGATATAGGGATTCCTGTTGATGGAAATCTCAAGGGTTGTAAGGTGCTTCTTACCACTCGTCGTCACGACGTGTGCAGTTTAATGGACTGTCTAAAGAGGATTCCCCTAGATCTCTTATCTGAAGAGGAAGCTTGGAGTTTATTCCGAAAGCATGCAGGCATAGATGCTGTGTTATCTTCCAACTTGCCGAACAATATGCAACTGCAACGGGAGGTTTGTAAGGAATGTAAAGGACTGCCCATTGCCATTGTCACTGTCGGAACCTCCTTAAAAGGAAAATCAAATGGAGTTGATGAGTGGAAGGTAGCATTACAAAGTTTGAGAGATTCAAAACCTGTGGATGTGGATGAAGGCCTTGGAGATGCTTTCAATTGTCTTAAATTAAGTTACGATTACTTGAAAAGAGATGATACCAAGTTGCTTTTCTTGATATGTTCTGTGTTTCCAGAAGATCATGAGATCCCTGTTGACGACTTGGTCAAATATGGAGTGGGACTGGGTATCTGTGGGGGGTCATTTGATTCAGCCAGTACCCGATTGAGAATGTGCATTAATACACTTGTAGATTCTTGTCTGTTGATGCGTTGTGAGATGAGTAAAGTTGACCAGCTCTTTCGCCCTAGAAAGGACCATGTAAAAATGCATGATATGGTTCGTGACGTAGCTTTATGGATAGCATCAAAAGATCGAGCTATTATAGTAAATCCTGCCAGAAATCTGAACACATCAATAGAAAGTGAAGCCATAAAAGATTGTTATGCACTGTCTTCATGGTACAATAATGGAACCGATAAGTTTCTTCATAGATTGGATGCTCCAAAACTTCAGATCCTGCTCATAAATCTTTCTGCTCATACAGTTCCCCTGGGATTGGCAGGTTGCTTGGAATTATCTGATGAATCATTTCAAGGTCTGAAAGAACTTAAGGTTCTGGCTTTGATCGATAAAAGTTATTATCGGAAAATGGCTATATCATTCCCCCAATCATTGGAGATGTTGACTAATCTTCAAACTCTGCGCTTAGTAGGGTTGGATTTGGGTGATATCTCTTTTGTGGTGAGCCTAAAAAGACTTAAGATTCTTGACCTGCAAGATAGTAAATTCAATGAACTGCCCAATGGAATCACAATGCTGGACAAGTTGAAGTCGCTGGATTTGTCACAATGCATAATCAAGGAGCCTTGTTTTGAAGTAATAAGAAGATGCTCACAACTAGAAGAGTTATATGCATTCGGCCATGGCGATTGCTCAAGTCCTAGAATAATGGATCACTATCAATGCTTCAGGGATGATGATGATGTTATTTTCCCAAATTTGCAGAGGTACAAATTATATTTAGGGCCGCTTATGAGCTATCCATGTGAACTGCATTCATCAAGCAAGAAAAATCTATATGTGAACGGATTTAATCCCTCAGCTTCAGATGCTTTTGTTAAGTATCTTCTGCAAAGGACATTGGATGTTCGTCTGTATGGCCTTCGTGGAGGATGCAAAAATATCTTTCCAGCTACAGTTCAAGCTGTCGGATGCATGAATGAGATGACTCATCTCCAGCTCATTTTTTGTTCGGAGTTGGAATGCCTTGTAGATTCTACTTCCAATAATGCAGATAAAATCCTGCTAGATGCAGCATTCCCTGAACTGGTTGAGTTATGTCTGGAACGTATGAATAATTTAAAAGAATTGTGGCGTGGTCCATTTGTGCATTGTTTCTTTGGAAAGTTACAAGTCATTAGAATGGTGTCTTGCAACCAGTTGCACAACATCTTTCCTCGGGAATGTAACATGCAAAATCTTAAGAAGCTCTCAATATTCAAATGCCGGACTTTGACATCCATCTTCCTGATGTCGGTTGCAAGGACTCTGGCGAAGCTAGAATGTCTAATTATCAAAGAGTGCTCAGAATTGAGGTATATAATAAATAGTGAAAAAGAAGATGGCACAGATGCGGAGGATGTAACAGTTCATATGCCATATGATTCTCATGAGATACTCCCTGAACTGAAGGAGCTCATCATCAGTTCCTGTAACAAGTTAGAATTTATACTCCCAAACTCTTGTGTTGAAGGCCTTTTGCAGCTGCGGAAAATACAGGTTTCTCGTGCCCCTAAGATGAAATATATCTTTGGTCCATCCCACAATGAAGATCAATTATCTTATCTGAACAGGACCAAGATGGCGCTTCCTCTCCTAGAAGAAATAGAACTTCAAAGTCTCCCAGATCTTCTTGGGATTTTCTCAGGAAACTATAATTTAAGCTGGGAATGTCTTAAGAAACTAACATGGAGAAATTGTCCCAAATTGAGCACAAATTCATCTCACAACAATTTGAATTTTGCTTTGGAACATCAACAGCTTCCTCCAAATACGGTACTGATCTCTCCGATGCTTTTATTTTCAAGAATTTCTTTCAATCAAATAGATGGCATGTAGGCAGAGTCTCAAATCTGCATATGATAAGACCGTATTATGCCACTCATGAAATGCCATGCCGTTGAATTGAGTTGGTATGAAAACTGGGGGGGAAATGGATGAATGTATAGACATTAATACGAACAACTTTTCCATTCAAAATAACTTGAGGCATGAGTATACATTACAATTCCTTTTTCTAAAAAGAATCATAAAAAGGCAACAGTGTATGAAGCATCAATAGGCCGCAGTCTGTTGTACCATACATACTTTGGGTGCATTTACCTCTAATTTGGTAATAACTGATAATGCATAAACCTGGTTCATATCATTCATCGACACTAAAAAGAATAAAAAATTTTGTTGTAACTTAGTCTCAACTATAAATTTGAGTCAAACTTTCTGATCTTCTATCTACAGGAAACACACCTTGGCAGGGAATACTTAACCTCAAAATTAGAAAAGTTGTCCTTACTAAATGTACATGATTTGAGGTTCATATGGACAGCTTCCACTTTGTCACAAGCTCTGAGGCTTCAACATCTTCGTTCTTTGACTGTGAGTAGGTGCAGAAAGCTAAAATCCGTCTTTCCTTCAGTTATCCAAAGATGCCTGCCAGAGTTACAGGAACTATACATAGGAAACTGTGAAGAGTTGGAAGAAATTGTTGCAGAGAATGAAAAATATGATAATGTATCCATTTCTCAAGCGTGCTTTCCAAAACTTTCAAGGATTGAAGTGTGGCGATGCAACAAGTTGAAAAGCCTTTTTTCTACTGCCATAGCTAGAAATCTTCCTCAACTAAGCAGTCTAATCATAGTTGATGCTGCTCAGTTAAAGGAGATTTTCAGACATGGTAATGACGCAGATCCTGTGTATGGGAAGCCCCTCATCTTGCAAAATTTGAAAGAATTAAGAATCGAGAAATTGAAGAGTCTTGTTAATGTTGGAATCCTTTTACCCACAAAAGAGCTTTGCAAAGTTCGCAGACATGATTGCCCAAATATTGGGAGCAGCATAGTTGATTCTGCTTCTTCAGGGAACAGAGGTACGATCTAGATTTATTTTGATTTTGGATTTTGTTTTAATATATTCAACATTTTTCCGTGTATAATTCAAGATGGCTTTACGTATAATATGCTGCAACAGAGTCAATTTCTTTACATTTGCACCATGATTTCTCAGCTTATATATCACAGTTGATTTCCTCAAATTAGTCATCATTTTTGTAAAAATTAAATTTTCACTCTTAAAATGGCGTTTGAAATTTGGAGGAACAATGATTCTTGTTGTTTCTTTTCATTTATGTATTCATCTATTTCTCCGACAGGAACCACAGATAAGAGCGACGAATGATGGCCAAGTCTTAAGATTTGCAAGCCGCTCCAAACATGAAAGACATTTACTTATGGATGACAAAAATCATGTTTTGAAGTCTCAACTGTATTTTGGCTACATTTGGAGGAGCATCTTACCTTACCTTACGGGTCTGGGTGGGTCACAATAGAGCTATTTGTTTATGTATGGCAGACAAAAATGGTTGACAGATTTTTTGCTTTCCTTTTTTTGGCCAACAAAATGTTTCACAATTAGGTTTGTTATTCCCTCTGGAATTATTTCTTTTCTGGGAAGATGTTGTGCTCCTGGCCTGGATGGAGAATAGTAGCAGCATTAATAGTAATAAAGGGCAGTTCTCCACATTTTTGTTATGAGATTCGTAAGTTTGTCGAACACAGCTGAACCGCATTGTAGTAGAACTAACTGATCGTGTTGGCAGGTCCAATGAATCAAATCCCCTGAATCTTTAAAGAAGAGCCACATAGGGTAGCTGAGGTTGTATCTTCTAAAGTAATTTATTACTACATCTCTTTTTTTTTTAATATGCAAAAATAAAAAAGACACGTATGATATATTAATTATCAACTACTAGTAAAATAAGATGTTTAAAAAATTGTACCTAAACTGTATGATAACACTTTAAAAAATTTATAAATAAGAGTTAGTGATATTTCAGATGATTAACATGTTGAGGATTCTTTCTGTGACACCACATATCTGTTTACGTAATAAGCACACATCCATCGTTTCTGTATTCCGTTATTGCTATTCCAATATCCGCTTTCAATATGATCAATATGATCATGTAATCTCAAATGATTTAAGAATAAAAATAACATTTAAAAAACCACAAAAATGGGATGGTACTATTCGTACAATTGGTTTCAATACACAACAAAATTTTACATATCAAAGGCCTTGTAAGGAAACTAGCTCACTATCAAGTTCTCTCGACAAACATGACAAGGCACGCAGGCTAAACCCCAGCCAATATCCTCAAGATTTGAGAACAAATCCTTCAATCCCTAAGTATATAGATATATCCTGGATGGCCTACTTTTACAATCAATGAATATACCGTGGCAATAGCTGATAATGGCAACATTATCAACCTGCCAATTGAAAGTTTAAAATCGTGAGTTATGCTGCTTGACCAGTTTTTTCATCAGGTTCGGCTTTAAAATTGCCATCCAACTTGTTTCCAGACGCTAGTTCTTCTGCTTGGAGTGGCCGTTTCTCAATTCTGTTACCCTGCAAAACCTTATTACATCATAGCACGAGTCATAATTACATATGTCTTGTTCAAGGCAATGAACAGATTATTCAAGGCGAAAGAAACTACATTTTTCAATGTTTATTTTTACCTGTGGTTGGTCGATCATTTTGCCTGCTTCACTATTTCCAGAAGATCCGGAAGCAGATCCAGAATGCTCCTGAGAAACGGTTTGTACAGCTTGTAAAGGCTTTATCAAAAGTGGCTGACCCACATCACTAACTTTCTCTTCCTGCCCACTGCCAGAATTCTTTATAGAAATGTTTTCTACTGACTTGCTGTTGTTAGTATCAGTATCTATGGATTCAGATGGTGCTTCGACTCTCCTAACAACCTCAGTAACCAGATTTTCAAAAGGCATGCCGGGCTGTCTCATTGAGTTGGCCTCCGCTCTGCTTTGAACCTCAGCTGAAGATAGATTGGGCGAACCATTTTCATTTTGCGTCCCTCTTGGCAACAAATTTTGGCTAGGTAGAGCTTGAGAAATCTGCATTTGGTTTCCATCGGCAAGAATTTCTTTGGCAGCAATTGGTGTGCTTCCAAGAGATGCTTGGGTCATGGCTTGAGAAGGTTGATTAGAAACCATAACCCCATTTTGTAAATTAACAGGTTGGAGCTTAACAGGGACCACATTACCTCTAGATAGTAGAGAATTAGTTTGTCTTTCCATTGACTGCTGATTCTTTCCTTGAGATGCAACCAAACCACTGGAGCTAACTGCTCCTCTAGATGACTGACTGAAAGAGGGTGACCCTTTCATTGTATGACCCGCATTTCTATGAATATTGACGTAATGTTTATTTCTTTCTCTTCGGTGAGGTTTCTTCACATTAGCTCCTCCTGAGAAGGGAACCTCATTTCTTTGGATCATGGGAACACCTGGGGCCACATCATTTTCAGCTGAAAGAGGGGCATAATGTCCAGGCTTTAGGACAAGACCCCTTAAAGTAGTATTGGAATTACCAACTTTAGCACTAAGCAGATATCCAGCATCAAATACTGCCTCAATTACACAAGAAACCACCTGACCAACCATGGGATCATTCAAATCATTTCCAATGTCCCTTCGATGGGGCTGACTTCCATTAACCCTGTCAAACCCTGGAGGAACACTGGCATTTCCTCCACCAACTGGATTCTGGTTTACATTCCGAATATTTAGGATATGGGCATTCTCTTCCGCATATGGTTTTGGATATTTCCTTGGACGACCACGTTTGCGCTTCAAAGGGATGTCTCCAGAGCTATCAAAGTTGTTATTAGGATTTGGCTGGTCCATCTTTGCATATATAGTACTCCAGTGTCTCCTTCCTCTGAACGAAGAAAAAACTGCTTGTAAGTATACTGGTGCGCACTAGGATCAAAATTTTCTCAAGTGCTCAATATAGGTCAAATAAAGGGCAATGAACTATGATCCACTAATAACTATCCTCCCGATAACAGTGGAGCATATCCATCAATTTCATGCAGGCATGATAGAGATGATAGCAGTATAGCATAACTGCCAACTGTAGTCAAAATAATCTAATGCAACATAATCTTTATCTTGGGCCAAAATGAAGTTGTCCGCATTTTGAATTCAATCTGCGATAAATTTATAGCAGTTAAAGCAGAAATGAAGCAAGAAGACAAGTATGATGGAACTTTCATAGTAGCCCCGAAAACTTGGAGGGAACAATGCAACGCAAAACAGACAACTGTCGTTCATAAGGCTGAATTACTGATTATAGTCTGTACCAAATTACCAGTGATTTCCAGGTTTCCTTTTGCTTTTCTTTTTTCTTTGGGTGCAGACTGGAGATTAAATTGAATAAATCGTCGCACTTAAGATACACAGTACACAGATGCATGTATCAACATATCAACGCGAATCATAACAAACGATAAATAGGTTCTAGTCTTGGAAAAACAAAATTGATAAAGCATCAAAACACAATGAAAAGTAGACTGATAAGAGGTAGAAGCAAATGAGGAGCAGACGTAGCCCAAATGACTATCAAATCAGTCTTTGTATGAAGTCATTAAACAGAAAGTGATTTCTACACGAGCAAACCAAATGAATTACGAAAAGGAGACAATGAATGGGGAAACTGAAGCCATAGAAGGTTAATGAAATAGCTCCAGAAAGACATCACCAACATAAATGAACAAACTATTCAATGCAAAATAAAATAGCTTTTAGAGATTCTAGCCACCAGACCTCCTTCAGAACCGTAAAGTTAGCAATATGAACACATGAAGCAATAAATGAAACTCCAAATCCTTAAAAATCTTACATTTCAGTAAAGCATGGAGTGCAAACTAGTACATATACCATACTCATCGAAAAGCATGCAAGCAGTTTGATTTTTTTAAAAAGTTAAAAAAAAAAAGGAAAAATTCCCGAAAATACGATTAAAGAACTAAAATCCGGAAAGTACTCGTACACCAGGGGTCAAGGGTTTAACATTTTTGTAGTTAAAAATTTCTCTCCTTTTCGCAACCAAACAACGTTTTCCTTACCCCAAAAAAAAAATCCCAAAATAGAAAATAAAGGTCACATAAATCCCCAGTTTGAGTTTGATTAAACATAAAGGGCATGCAAAAGCTAAATAAGCGAATACGAGAGAGAGAGAGAGAGAGGTTACAAGAAACCAAACCGTTTAGGGCCCTCGTGTTATGGAGGATTAGATGCAAACTCAAACTAGTAAATAGCTTGCGATTGAGAAAATCATGGGGAAGACGACGAGGGAAGTGTGTATTGGGTTGGGCTCAGGCGACTGACTGAGAACTCAGAAGCGAGAACAAACAGCGGAGTGTTAACGTAAGGGCTAGACAGGCTGTGAGCGAAAGCTGTGACAGAGCAATAGAATTTTGCCACGTGTAAATATTAGTGTGGGCCCCACACAACGTTGACCTGGAAATGTGAACGTGGCCTTAGATTAGTTCGGTAGCACGATCTGGAACCAAAACTCGTTGGAGCGAAAACATTTTTCAAAATTGAGGTGCTCGGTGTTATGAAAAAAAATATTGGAAACATTTTTTTCAACCAAAAAAAAAAAAAACTCGCCTTAAAAATCGAGGACACCAAATATGGATCCGGCTTCTCTCCTTTGCCCCTTCCCATCCGCTGCTCTCCTTTGCCTCAAACTACACCGTTTTGGTGTAGAAACAGTGAGGGGGAACTTTTTTCTTTCCTTTTAAATAAACATATAGTACTTTGAAGTATTTTTTTAGTACTACTTATTATCTTGAAATATTTTTTATTACCATCTACTATTATATTATAATTTTTGGTCAATTTAGAGACCTAAAATATTTTTTCAGTAACACCCCATATTTGGCTTCCAGCACATTGAAATATTTTTTTAGTATCACCCAATAAGCTAAAATAATTTTTGGTATGGTAAGAGCCCTAAAATATATTTTTTTTGTAACACCTAATATTTGGCTTCCAACATATTAAAGTATTTTTCTGCAGCATCTAATGTCCTAAACTAACTTTTAGTACATTCAATACCTTAAAATATTGCAACAAAAATTATTTCAAGAAATCAAGTGCCGCTTAAAAAATATTTTGGCAGACTAGATACACTAAAAATTAATTCAGAATACTGAATGCTACTAAGAAAAATACTTCAGTATATTGAAAATTAGACAATGGGTGTCACCAAAAAATATTTCAGGGTTCTGACTGGATCAAACATTATTTTTGAATATTGTGTGGTATTAAAAAATTATTTTAGGTTACTGTGTGATACTGAAAAATACTTCAATGTGCTAGAAGTCAAATACTGGGTGCTACAGAAAAAAATATTTTAAGACTCTAATTAGACCAAAAATTATATTAGAATACCAAATAGTACTGAAAAAATATTTCAAAATAATAAATGATACGAAAAAATATTTCATGATGTTTGATATTTACTTTTTTAAAAAACGAGTGGGGCCTTACTATTTCTGCATCAAAACGATGTAGTTTGAGGCAAAGGAGGGCAGCAGATAGAAAGGGGTAAAGGAGAGGAGCCAGATCCCACCAAATATATCCTTTAGCAAGAGAAGTTCACCAGCAAAAAAAAAAGAGGAGGAGAAGGAGAAGATAAATATAAATAAGTTAAACGTTTCATCATTTAAAAATTTCTGTAAATTACTAATATACTATGATGATTTTTTAAAGCTTGGTAGTGCATCATTATCTCTTTCTTTTCCCCAAAAAAATCACAAAAAAATTCTAAAAATTTAAAAACTACATATAGGGATATGTTTATAAAATTATTGTCAAACCCTGTAATGAGCCTTTATTTACAGAATTTTTTATTTTGACAGTCTTTTTCTACAATTTTTCAAAAAATTATGTCACCATCTTATTAAAAGTACGTGACCAATCTATATATCCATCGGAATAGCATATACCAATTGAATTATGCTAGTATAACCCAGTAGTTGTACTGATAGGTACCACAACGTTTTTGAGAGGTACGTAGATTCGCATAATCATAATAATAAATGGGTCCCTCCAAAGGCGTGCACGGAATCTGAACATAGGTTGTTGGAATAATATGCAAATGACAGACTGAAAGAATGTGTCATCCGCTTTTTTTTTTTTTTTAAACACTGAATTTTGACGGCACCATCTTCAGAAGCAACTAGACGATAGTACTTCTCTTGGTTTAAATAACTAATTTATAAATATTAAAAATTAGTTAAATTAATTATTTATAAATTTTAAAAATTATGACTTTCTTTTATAAAGTTACTAATTATTGTCATTTCATCTATTTTTTTATGCGACGGGCCCTGTCGCGGCAGAATAAAACTTGTTTTTATGATGTGGATGCAATAAATTTTGATAACAACCAAGTGATTTATTTTCATAAATTTAAAATTTTAGAGAATAATTATAAAGTTTTAAAAGTCTAAAAAAAAAAGTGTAAACTAAAACCTAAAGTTAATGAAGGTTACGTGTCTTTGATGTTTGACATGACAATATTAAAACGACTTTTAACAAGACAACCACGTTGCGACATCTAACATTCCATAATTGAGACGCAGCAACCACATTGGTTATTATATAAAAAAAGAAAAAAAACACTGCTTTTCCCTTCCAATTAGTCAATGATGACAGTGTCTTTTCAATTATTTTCTTAATGACCAAAATAGACATTTTCACCCATAAATTCCTTTTTTTTTTTTAATGAAACATCTTTTTCACCATTGTCATAGAGCCTACTTCGTTGTGTCATAGAGCCTACTTCGTTGTTCATGTTTAGTTTGACCTTAAAATGATTTCCTAGTTTACATTTTACAATGTGAAACTAAACATGCTCTTGATTATACAACGCATATGAAGAGTTCCTCCAAAGAAAGAAACAGATTGAATTGGTAACATGAAACAAACTATAAACTGAAGAATTGTCATACAGTACACAGAAACTCTGATATGGAATTCGAAACCATTAACACTAAAATCAAGTGCCAATGATTTACAACATCAGAGAAAGCTATAAGACAACAAAACTAGAATTAGTTATAGCTAGCAAAGCTTATTGCAAAATTTACAATCCTTCAAGGACTCACCGGCCTCCACTGTTCTTATTGACTGTTGCAACAATTGAGGACGACTTTGATCATTGATGGAACTTTCACTTCATAGTTCACAAAAAAGAGGCACCTCAGTTCAGTTGGAGTTTGAACCTATTTCTGAAATCCTTCAAGGCAAAGGTCTCTGGTTCTCAGGAAGGTGTTCAGCATACAAGTTACGTACCATTTCGACATAGTCGTCGATCTTATCAACCGTCCAGTTTTCAGTACTTATCGGAGGAAGGTACTTGACAGTGAGAGGGGCCGGACGAACATGTAAGCTGCCTTTCCTCCATGCTCGATGAGTGCCTGTTAAGACCATCGGAACAATAGGAAGGCGTGATTGTATCGCCAAGTGAATGAAACCCTGCATGTTGAAAGTTGAGGTGTAATGGCATATATAGAGCAATATGGTAGAAGCAAGTGTTTCAGATTGTAAAAATCTGTTTGCCACATGGCCAGTACCAAAGGGGTTGACTCAGCAAGACAAGAAAGTATCTCTTTTTGTCAACCTAGGTTTGATTCTCATGGGGAGCACTATTGGGAGTAATATCCCATGACTCACCCGTGGATAGATTAGTTCCACGAGATCCAGAAAGAGAAAAAATTGACAGATTGATACTTCAAATCATATAGGTAATATCAATCATCCTACAAAGGTCTATATGGATGAAGTGATCATGATAAGCAAAGAAACAAAGAGTTCAGGTCCTCAATCAAATAAATGCTTCCAGCTAGATTAAGCCCAGTTCACAGTCTGATTAATTTATTATCACCCTGATTCTGCAACAAAACCTCATTTAAATTATAGCTGTAAAGAAAGAAGTGCATCCAACATGGTTGGAAAATCACTTTTTTGAAAGGAAGTAGCCGTCCATTTTTGGACCTCGTGCCCTCTGGAAAAATAATCAGGGACAGGTTGTTTCTCACGACTGCACGAGCCGCCTGAGGACAACAAGAACATATCTTAGAACCCCTTTCAATTCAAGTCAATGGTGCATGAATATAATAGGAAAAATGTTATATACCTCTTTCAAGGACTCAATGGCTACGGTTGGGTTAGAGCGATCTATACGAAGGTGGTTCGCCAAAACATAAAGTTGACCAAATAAAGGATACCATATTATCTGCACAGAACCAAGTTTCAATAAGTTTCTGAAGCAGTTACAATTTTGAACACATTTCTATTACCAAACTAGGCTATCATACATAATTCCTGTGCTTTTTTAAATGCTGCCCAGACTCATGAATTAATGCATGATGTTGATTCGTAATGCAAGAAAGCAAGGTTTCACAGACCAAAGAGGCAAATAAAGAGAACAAGACTTTAAAAGAAATTCTTTAGAAGTATCATGTTCTCCACTAAAATTAAAATATATAGGCATCTTTACAACTCAACATAACATTATTGACTCCTTCAAAAAGAATTCTTTTAGGGAACTTGACAGTTTCAATGAAAATCCATTTCCATCGGTTTAACCAAAAAGAGGCAGCCAACGTGGACTGGGGACTGTCAAAGGACCTTGACCACGAAGAGAAACTAATCTTTGGTAAGGGTATTTCTTGAGTCCTTCTTCTAAGGTTTTTAATGAAGTACTGCTAAATAAAGCATTACTTAGAATCATCATTATGCATTTAAAATTGGGGAAGGAAAAAAAAAAACCTTCAAGAATTACAACATACCTCCTTCTTCGCAATTCCTACGGTCCCAGTTGGAGTCAACCACATTATAAGAAATATGTCTATTGGAGAGGCATGATTACTGATATAAATGGCCCTCTTGTTAGCATACTCAGAACCTTCAATCTTTATAGGATTGCCAAGAATCCACATCTGCAATCAATGAGAATATCAATAACAAGTTCATTACTTGTCAAACAGCATAAAAGTTGGAATACAAACAACGATGAAAAAAATAGTGAAGACTAAAAATCAGACTTTTGAGACATGTCCTGTTTCGTATGGTGATAATGTTCAGAAAGCTATCGAGCATACCACTCCCAAAGCAAACATAGATTTTTTTACTAGAAATTTATCCAACAAGCCTTCCGAGCTAAAATCCAATATGTATTCAAAATTTGGCCGATGTAACCCAACACTAGGCTTTCATTTTTCCCAAATAGTATAACTGAGAATTACTGATAAAATACGGTTGATATAACAATATGTTCTACAATAAATCACTGATGGAATCCACAAAACAAGCAAAATCGGGACCATTTAGCAATGGATTTGGCGGAACTAATACACATGCTAAATCAATCAAGATATACTCTGTATCCTCGCATAACTGAAAAGTAATGTCAAAATCTAAAATATAACTTCGTTATTTTACTATTTGAGTGATCTCTGTGATTAAAAGAGTTAGTTTGTCGTCTCTTGGGAATAAGGCAGTCATTATAAACATACTGAGTTTTAATGCCTCATTGGAATGATGATAATGATTCAAATGTGTCACTTTCCATATGATCAGTTGGAGAAAAAACATAAGGATATATAATTGCTTATAAGTTGAATAATGATGACAGCACAGTTTGTGAATTTGCAAGGCAATGTTAGTTAATGCAAGTTCACAAAGATATGTAACTGCCATACTTTATAATAGTACCGGAAAGTGAGTGAATACTTAAATCATGTCCCTAAATTTTCTTCAAATAACAACCGATAAATGAACAGAAACCAGACAAAACATTTGTGACATTAATTCGTTTCCACAGTAAACATAAGAAGTAGCTTACCAGCATTCTACCAGTCACATGCCCATAAATGTTCCCTTGCCTAATCCTTTCATAAGGCCATGGAATAAGAACAAGCATGATTAATGCCCATATGAATGTTGTAACCATCATAGACACAAAACATATGACAATTCTGATCCATGATATGATATCCAACAACCATCCTTCATCATCGTAATTTGAAACTATGTGAGTCTTTAGCCTTCTTTCTGGTTCTTCTTTCACTGAAACTTTAGGAGTCACTTCCACCCTTTGACCAGAGCTTGTGTTCAGAAAACTCTCCAATCTTCTACTCCTCAGAAAGGCACTGCTTCCAGTATTCTCCATCAACTTGAATCGTCAAAATCTGTTAAGAGTTTGATAATTACAGAATCCAACCTGACACATAACAAAAGCAGAACAGATCAGATATATAGATTTACTCGAAGGAACATATTCCCTTTTGGTTGCTGAGAAACTTGACGAATAATAACGCAGAAAAATTCAAACAATCAATTTAGGAAGATGAACCACGTACGTTTTCCATAACATACTATCGATGCATCAAAATAAGTAAGTTTGACCAGAAAGTTCTAGTCCTTCTCGTCCCTTCGGTTTTCGGAAAATGAACTCAAGTTCCAATCATAACGAAACTAAGGAAGAGAAAAAAAAGCAAGATACTTCAAATCGAATTCAATTCAACACCGTTTCATTTTCCGAGAAACCGAACGAATAGAACCTCAACACATGAATTACCCAGAAAACAACCGTGAGCAAACGTCAAAAAAGCTTCAAACTTTGGAACGAACATCCAAGGGACGTTCTTTTCTTACTTTCGCAGCTGTCTGATTTTCTCAGCAACCAAACAAGCATGCTAAACATTCCTACCAGCGATGGTTCTGCTTCGCTCTATACCCAAAACTGGGTGGAGAAAATGTTACGAGGCAATCCGAGATAAAGTGAAGCGAAGAGCGTAGAAGTCACTCTCTTAAATCCAGAATAAGAAGAAGAAAGAGAAGCAGAGTGAAGACAGAGAAACGAAACATGTGGTGGCAAATAGAGTAAAATAGGAAAGCCTCTCTTCTTCGTAGCTTCTTCTACTCGTAGGTAGTCTCATAAAGAGACCTCAACTGTTCGGATATGCTCTGATCTCATCTTTGTTCATTCTTCATTCCCCTTTGGGGTCAAAATTTGGTATTTTTACTATCTTTGTTACGCGATCATAAAAATTAATGGATTGTGATGATGGCAGCTAAAAAAAACTATTTATATCCAATGGTCATGTCCCTTAGCCCGATCAAATGATAAGACTTCCAATAAAATGTGTATTTAGTATATATCATAGCATGCATATATAAAAATTAAGTATGGATATAAAAAGACAAATTTACATCCATTTGGTTATATATATATATATATATATCCAATTCTCCAATCAAATATTGACATATTGAAATTTTTATTATGTACTAAGATTTGATTGGACAATTGGATTTGATGGATATGTATATGGGCACAAACTTTGTCCCAATTAAAAAAGATTAGAAGTTGGTATTTTTATTAATATTAAAAAAAAGTCAATATCAAAATGCCCTTATTCACGTACAAGTTGGAAATATTTGAAATTAAATTGGTAATGATGTTGGGGAAAAAATAACTTGGTAATAATAAAAACACAGATTGAGCCATTTTCAAGTAGTTTGTCATTTTTCCTGGTCAAAAAAAAAAATTAGTTTGTCGTTTTTATATTCATCATTTCCTAGCAGTTTAGCATTTCCAACCTGCATGCATTGTTTTTCTTTTCTTTTCTTTGATAACTGTATCCATTGTTTTTCTAACTTCCTTTTTTTTTTCTATTTTTAAAAACGGAGAGTGAAAAAATGCCTAATTGAAAAATTCTAACTAAGCTTCTAGAATTTCTAATTTAACTTTTCAGAATTTCTACCTTTTATTTGTGTGTGTGTTTTGTAAAATGAATAAAGGCATTGTTTTCAAATAATTGTACTTTTGATTTCTCAAACAGCTGTACTAAATGTCGGTTAAATCACTGTGGCTAATCTGCATTTCATAATTTTAGCGCCAATAAAATGCTATTATCATTTTTATTTGGCCTCAGAGTGTCATTTTCCCTTATTTGAATGATGAGGAAAGTTGGGAGAGACGCGCTTGTTGTATGGGTGAACAACCAAAGTCACTTTTGGAATTTTTTTTGTACAATGCTTTGTCCACAAATTGATTAATGAAGAGGACGGTGATGCCACGTCCTTTTTCTTTTTGTTATACATGGAAAATTATTTGTCCCATTCTCCCCTCAAATAATCATCTCTAGTAATGAGTTTGATTTACAAAATTAAAAAAAAACAGAACTTTTTATAATTTTTCTTACTATTTTATCTTACATCTCTTTTCTATTAAAATTTTATAATCTCAATTATTTAAATTTTTAAAATTGAATTTATTAAAAAATTTTCCCCTCCCCTCTTTTTATTTCCCTCATACCTAAACAACTAAAAAAACAAAGAAGAAAAAATCGTAATTAAAAACGCAGATAAGGATTCGTGACAACTTTACTATGGCTTTTAACAATAATAATATATCATGAAGTTGTCAAAACCCATAATGAAGTTATCACGGGTCTTTATCTGCATTTTTCAAATTCTAGAATCGTTTTTTTTTTGCAATTTCTCCTAAAAAGAAAGTTAAAATTCTATTTTCACCAATTCGAAGGACTTTAGTGTTAAAGGCTATCCACCAAATTTAACATAAATTTGTTTTAACTTCAAAATTATCAGATACCCTAAATTCACATGACAAAAGAGAACTATATTGGTATGTTTGGTACGAGAGAAATAAAAGAAAAGGAAAGGGAGGGAAAATTTGGATGAGCTTGTTTTAAAAAAATTGAAAAAGTGAGGTTATAAAATTTTGACAAGAAGAACATGTAAGATAAAAGAATAATTAAAATAAATCAAAAAATTTTAACCCACTTTTTTAATTTTTTAAAATGAGCTCATCAAAATTTTTCTTCCCCTCTTTTTTCCTCCGTTTCCCCCGTACCAAAAGGACCCTATGATTCTTAAGCCATAATCACTGTCTTCATATATTAAAATTGTACTGCAAATTAAGTCCACAGGACATATTTCTATTTTTAATAATTCTAAAAACAAAAGCATATTAAAGAGCATTTGGAGATTGGCGTCAAGTTCATTGTCATGGAGTTTAAAATTTTCGGATACAACATATTTTCATGAATTCAATTGCAATAATTATTTTAAAAAATAATGTGTAGCATTTGCATCAATACATATTTTTACTACAAGTCAACAACATGAATTTATCCAAAAATCATCAACATAAAATAAAATAACTAAAATTTATAATATTATGACAATAATTACAAATAAGCATGTGACATTGTGAATAGCACCACTCTTATCCTTAATATTAGAGCTAATTTTATATTTATTTTTCACCAACTTCTTTATTATATTTATTTATTTTTCATAAAGTAGTTCCTAAAGTATTTGTATATATTAAATGTTTTATTAAATGATACAAGATTGGCAAAAATATTTTAAAGAAGAAAAAATATATTTATTATAAATAATTAACTTAACTAATTTTTTTGTAAGATTAATTAACCAAATCTTATAATAAAAATTAGAAAAATTATTGGGAATATTCTCAATAACTTATTTGTCCAAAATAACAACAACAAAAAAAGGACGCGTAAACCAGTAATCTACCTGATCAATTATTAGTTTTTTTTTTGGGCCAAAACCCGATCAATTATTAGTTAAAGCTTGAAAAACAGCACTTGACCGGGGGGGAAAAAAGCTTGAAAAACAGCACATGTATGGGTGTAGGGCTATTAATTAATTAAAGAAATAATTCATTGGAATACTTTGTCAGCAATGACAATTATTGGTCGGTACCTAACTCTTGCTTTTTGGGTCAGTCAACGACTTACACGAGCCTCACATTTGTTTATTTTATGATGGGGACTTATTTTTATTATAAGTATTTATTAAATTATATATCAATTTATAAATAAAATAAATTAGTTCAGGAAAAAAATAAATATAAATAGTTTAAAGTAATTTAACAATATCTTTAATTTAATATATCAGTTTGTTTAAAAAGGAAATAGCATTCCACGCGGCATTGACATAACCAAAATTACCTTTTATCTTAAGACCAAAATAAGTTTATACTACTAGTAGTATTTAAGGGTTAGGAATCACTCTTTTTTTGTCTTTTAAGTTGTCCACCCAATTCACTGAAACTTTATTTACATCTGGCGATACCAAACCGCTTACCACTTAGACCAACCCTATTAGTGTTAAGAATCACTCTTTAACTGCATATTGAGTGTTTAGATTCATAATTATTACTTCTCTAATTCCAAATATAAAACACATTTTATAATATAAAATTATATTACAAAATAGATTTTATATTTAGAATAAGAGTTTTACATTATAAAATGGATCATATATTTATGACTGGAAAACAAATAAATATGGGTATCTATTTTTTTTTATCATGAGAATCTAGTTTCTTTGGTTAAATTTTTTTCATTCAGAATTTTGGCAGAAATTCTAAAAATATGATTTGGCGTGGCCTCCATTATCTTTTGGATGCCACGTTTGGTTGTTTTATCTCCTCGTGCTTGTTATTAATTAGGACCACTAATATTCCCCCCCCCCCGGGACCAATCTTCGTTATCTGCCACGTGGCCTTGGTTTCTCATGTCGTCCCCATGCAAATCATGTTGTGTGTGAACACTGTTCATTAATATTGAGCCATTTTTCTTTCCTATACTACCTCCCGTCCTAATTATAAGAACCAGTTGACTAATTTGAGGAGATTAAGGAAGTAAGTTGAGTTAGTTATTTGTCTTAAATAGGTATTGTCATTCCTAAAATATCCTTGCTAATCAAGTGTATTAACTAGAACTATCATTATTAGAAATGCTACTTTAAAAAAAATATAAACATAAGAGACAAAGTAGATTGGGGTTCTATATTTAGGATCAAAATAAAAATCAAACAAGGTCTTATATTAAATACCGGAGGTAGTATATATTTTTATTGTTTCACTTGTGATGCTAAAAAGATTTTTAGTGGAAGAAACGCATTGGCTTTATAGCTATTTTTGAATTTTTTTAACGAAACATTTATTTAATTTTGATCGGAGTGGTATCAGTTTAAAAAATGCCTTTTAGCTTGCAATTATAATGAACAACTAAGGAGAGTATCACAAGTTATACATGTATTCATAAGTTGTGGATCATGTAGTTAACGATAACAAACATGCAAAACTTGTGGTAGCACTATTAGTTGAGACGCTTCTCGCTTTTTTGTTTCCAACCAAAACATTGTAACCTTCATATTTTGAGGTTAACTAATACTAATATTATTTCCGATTCTTAATATAAGAGCTATATTGATTTTTAATATGATTGTAAATAGAAAACTCTAATTCATTTTATCTCTTATCTTTATCTATTTTTTTAAAGTAGTCATTGTAATAGTTGCTCATGTTAAATATTTCATCAAATAGTAGTTCTACCAAATGCACATGATTGGTAAAAGTAGTTTAGAAAAAACAACACATATTTATTACATATAACCAACTTAACAAACTTTCTTAATTTATTCAAATTAATCAACTAGTTTTTATATTAAGAACTAAAGGTAATATTAATGTAAGATGAGAGTTTTTATCTTGTCTAACAAGTGCATAGTTGACAAATTAGGATAAATATCTATACCTTATGATGACTTTGCTATTTTTTTAATTAATAAATATTATCTCTAATTCTTAATATAAGAATTAGTTGACTAATTTGAGTATATTAAAAAAATTAGTTAAATTTGTTATTTATAATAAATATATGTTGTCTTCTCTAAAATATCTTTGCTAAACCCATGTGTTAACTAAAACTATCATGGGATGAAATATTTAATATATGTAACTATTACTACCTCCGGTCCTAATTATAAGAACCAGTTGATTAATTTGAGGAAATTAAGAAAATAAATTGAGTTGGTTATTTGTCCTAAATAGGTGTTATTTTTCTTAAAATATTCTTGCTAATCAAGTGTATTGACTAGAACTATTATTGTTAGAAGAGCTACTTTAGAAAAATATATATATAAATATGAGAGACAAAATGGATTGGGATCTTATATTTATGATCAAGATAAAAGTCAAACAAGGTCTTATATTAAGAACTGGAGGTAGTATAAGAATTACCTTGGGAAAAATGGATAGATATGAGAGACAAAGTGGATCAAGATATTATATTTAGAACTAAACTAAAAGTTAAACTTGCCTTTCTATTAAAGACCAGTGATAGTACTAGCTTTAGTCATAAAATTTAAGAGTTAGATAACTGATTTAAAGATATTAAAAAAATTAGTTAAGTTGATTATTTGTAACAAATATGTGCTGGTTTTTCTAAACTATTATTTTTAATCATATGCGTCAAAACTATCTCTTGATAGAAACTTTTTACAAATAATAGAGATATTTTCAAAAAAAAATTATAAAACTGAGCAACAAAACAGATTGACATATTATTTATAAAGTAGAGTGAGATTTTATTTATGGGCTCTCAACTAGCTCTAATGATGGGAGGTAGTAACTAGATGACATGTTATGTGGCGCCTTAAACAAGATCGGACTTGAGTTTTAAAAAATGCAATAGCGATCAAATAAATAGGTTAGGCTGACTAGTGCCACTCCTAAAATAATTTAGGTGAAAAAAATGATGTTTAACTCTAAGTTTTATATATTTTAAATAGAAAATAAATATCAATAGAGGCTGATCAATTTGCTATGGAAATTACATTATGTAGTGACTCAAATTGAAGCGTGTTATTTATTTGCATAAAGTCCAAAATAAGCCTCATCATTCACAACTTGTGTACAATACTATTCGCTCCACATTTTGATTTTTCTGGTGAAGGCCACATTTTAGTTTTATATTGATATTCCACACATTTTTATTTTATCTTCTTTTTTTTTTTGGGGTTTCTTGACTATACATTTTATAGTCTGCTTTATATTGATATTCATCACGTTTATGGGCTGATTAAACTTTCATGTTACCGATCATGTGGGCCCAAGTCCACTTTAAAGGCTGGACCAGTTTTGCCTGTCAGGTCGGCCCATGAAGACTTACGTTTTCAACGACATGGGAAGCCCATTCATCAGATGGGCCCAATAAAGTGCAGTAGAAAAGCCTGAGGTTCCATCACGAAGCCTTGGACCCCCAGAAAAACAAAATCATATCTTAAAATAATCAAATAAAATTTTCCCAAATCAAATCTTCTAAAATAATTTAGCTTTTGTCTCCAAATTGTTTCCATTTTTATAATAAAAAATATATATAATTCGCCTTTTTTCTTTTAATCAGTAATAAAACAAAGTGTAGGACTAATTAATACAACTCAAAAGGAATGATCATTGTTGAACCTACAAAAAAGTTCAAGATTATTTTATGTAGCTTCAGCAGTGTTGGCAATTATGTACTTTTCATCTTTACGCCTGTGCGAGAATAATATTACTTTTTTTTTTTAACCGAAGTTACTTTCAATTCAAAAAATTAATTAACACAACGATCGCCAACAGTTATTCATTAATTTTGGTTAATAAAGATCATAATTGCATCATACCAGTTTTTTTTTTATTTTTATTTCTCCATCTGGTATCCCAGGACAATAGCCATCTTTCAGGCATGTCAACGGTCTCAAACTAATCCGGATCGAAGGCATGCAAGGAACCTTCCGGTCGATGCCCTCTGGCCCCTAAGGGTGCTGCATTCCCACAACTCGAACTCGAGACCCGTGGTTAAGCTAGGACAACTCTACCCAGCTGACCTAACCCCTCAAGGTTCCAGTTTTTTTTTCTTTTGATACTTCGTGATTACCAAATAACTCGGTAAAGAGACTTGTTGGCAAAAAAAAAAAAGTGGTAAATGGACTTTCATTTTAATATTAGAATATTGATTTCAATTTTTTTTTATTATGATATTGATTGATTTCAATTTTGTTTACTTAATTATGCCCAAAAAATCTTAAGAGATCTTAACTTCTTCCTTTTTGAGAACTGAAGGGTTCTTAACTCTAAAGTATTCAAAAATGTTCACATTAACATCACACATCAAAAGTTATTTTTATAACAAATACTAACTTCTGATTCCATATAATATAGTTAATTAATTTGAAAAAAATAAAAAAAAATAAAAAATTATTTTAAAGTACTTATATTTTATTTTTTTAACAATTTGTCTTGTTTATAAATTGATATGCTATTTCTAGTTCTTAATATAAGAACTAGTTGATTAATTTGAGTAAATTAAGAAAACTAGTTAAGTTAATTATTTGTAATAAATAGATATTACCTTTCTTAAAATATTTTTACTAATCAAGTTTATTGGCTAAAACTATCATTATTACTAAAACTATATTAAAAAATGAATAAATATGAAAAAAAATAGATTGAGGTATTATATTTATCATAAAAAAAAGTCAAACAAGTTTTTACATTAAAAACCAGAAGTAGTATATCTAATGATAGATATGTGTTTCAGAAAGATCATATAACATATATTATAATTAAATAATTTTTAACTCTCTTAGTCTCTTAAAATTAGTCAATTCAATCTTATATTAAATCTAAGAGGTGGTGTAACAAGAAAATTCCCGAACCAGCCATAACAAAAATTTATCTGTTAGTGTAAATGTGTGAAGATGGTTATTACTATTATTATGATTATTATTATTTTATGATGCGAAGTACAAAAGGCTAAAAGTAGTAAATGAAATTTGATATATTTCTTTAAACGCAAATTAGAGAGCTTTTGTATCATTGTCTGAGCTTTGAAGGACGGTATCTGTGTTGGTCTGGTCTTGGGCGTGCGAAGCGAAGAATTTTCATTTTCCCATCATCGCCTGCATAATGTGAAGAGCGAATTCTCGTAGTAACTGTGAAGTGCGAATTCTAAGTATTTCTGGATTCGAATATTCGTCATTCTCATCCAAGCAAACCTAACTGAAGCAGGTGTTTTACGTCATCCGTTAATATTCTAGTTTCCAGTTTGCCTCAAATTTTCCTTGTGCTTCTTGTTACATTGAAACCATGAACAGTTTTCAATGATGGGAGTGAGGGAAATTTATCGATGGCGCTTTTTCAATTCTGAGTTTGATTTAGATTTCTGGTTTTTCTCTTCCCCTTACCCGTTCACTCTTGAATTTTATGTTTGCCCCCATTTCCTCTCTATTTTCTTCCCTGTAGTCGTGGGCAATCAAATGAAGTATCAGCACAAGTGTATTCGGTTCATTCTATTTTTTTAAATGACTTTTTGCTTGCAATTCACAAATACTTGGGTTAATGAATTGTTCCGCTGACTCTTTTTGCAGGAAGTGAAGGTTACATTTCTGGGTCAACTTCTGCGGAATTTGGCGGATTGTTAGCGAAGTAGAGTAAGGGAAGTGGGTTGAAGTTGTCGTTTGTTATTCATATACGACAGACGATTGGTGACAATGAGTGTGGTGGGGTTTGACATTGGAAATGAGAACTGTGTCATTGCTGTAGTGAAGCAACGTGGGATTGATGTTTTACTGAATGATGAATCCAAACGCGAAACCCCTTCAGTGGTCTGCTTTGGGGAGAAGCAAAGATTTATGGGGTCAGCTGGTGCTGCATCTGCTATGATGAACATCAAGTCTACAATATCTCAAGTGAAGAGGCTGATAGGGAGAAAATATGCAGACCCTGATGTGCAAAATGAGCTGAAAATGCTCCCGGTTGAAACTTCTGAAGGCCAAGATGGTGGCATTTTGGTTCACTTGAAATATCTCAAGGAGACTCATACATTTACACCAGTTCAAATTTTAGCAATGCTCCTTGCTCATTTGAAAACTCTAACTGAAAAGGATTTGGAAATGCCAATTTCAGACTGTGTTATTGGGATCCCATCATACTTTTCAGACTTGCAGAGACGGGCATATCTTGACGCAGCAAGGGTTGCTGGTTTGAAGCCTGTGAGATTGATTCATGATTGTACTGCAACTGCTCTTGGTTATGGAATTTACAAAACAGATTTTCCTGGAACAGGTCCAACCTATGTGGCATTTGTGGACATTGGTCACTGTGATACTCAGGTCTCCATTGCAGCATTTGAGTCTGGGAAAATGAAGATACTTTCCCACGCTTTTGATAGGGATTTAGGGGGAAGAGATTTTGATGAGGTTCTCTTTAGTCATTTTGCAGCACAGTTTAAGGAACAGTACAGCATTGACGTGTACTCTAATGTCAAGGCATGTATCAGGTTGCGCACTGCATGTGAGAAGTTGAAGAAAGTTTTGAGTGCAAATAATGAGGCAGCTTTAAACATTGAGTGCTTGATGGATGAGAAAGATGTCAAGGGCTTCATCAAGAGGGAGGAGTTCGAGAAGTTGGCATCAGGGTTATTGGAGAAGATTTGTGTTCCATGCCATAAAGCATTAATTGATGCAAGACTAACTGCAGATAAGATCGATTCTGTAGAGCTAGTTGGCTCAGGTTCTAGGGTTCCTGCCATAGCTAGATTATTAACTTCTAAGTTCAGGAGAGAACCCAGCCGAAAATTGAATGCAAGTGAATGTGTGGCTCGTGGCTGTGCTCTTCAGTGTGCAATGCTAAGTCCTGTTTTCCGTGTTAGAGAATATGAGGTTTGTATTACAGGACAAAACATTGATTCTTATACTATTCTATGTTAATTCTTTGTGCAGCCATCCCGTGTCTACTTGTTTTCCTGTGTGAATTGAAAATTCTCACACTTCATATTCTCAAAGATATCCTGCACTGTAGGCTTACATCTTTGTTTATGGTATATATTCTTAAAGGTTAGTAACTTTTTTTTTTTTTTTTTTCAGGTCCTGGATTTAAATCCATTCTCCATTGGACTTTCGTCAGATGATGGTCCAATTAGTGCAGTATCAAATGGCATACTTTTCCCAAAGGGGCAATCCATTCCAAGTGTTAAAGTTCTAACATTTCACCGAAGTAGTTTGTTCCATTTGGAAGCGTTCTATGCTAATCCAAATGAACTGCCACCGGGGACATCTCCTAAAATCAGTTGCTTCACGGTATGCACCACCACTACCCTTACTCTAAACATGTTACTAACGTGAAGGACTTCAGATCTTTCATGTGTGCGCATGCCCGTGCTTTAACTGACTTCTTTGGCCATCCTTGGCCTGTTTCTTTATGTCCTTTTTTTCATTTATCTATTTTGGGTGTGCAAAAGGTGTGCAATATAGCAACATAGCTTCCATGAGCTCAATGATTCTTATAGAACATTCTAATTTCTCAAGAAAAAAATTGCATTTGGGTAATGGTAGATTTGTTACGATGATCACCTCTATAGTTTCCCACTTTTGAGCTGTAAAATTATTGCAATCGATAATCTAGTTTAAATGTTGTACATTTTTTCATACAACCATCATCAAGTGTTTGGTCTAATCTAGTTCCTTGGATGCATCAAAAACCATCACTTTTTGTGGATCTTAAGCTCATGCGAATCAACAAAATCCCTTTTCTTATTCTTCAACAAGGGGTCAATTTCATTAGCTATTAAACATCCCATATTCTTATTTATAAAGTACAATAGGGGCTGAGTTACAAAATATTGCAGTCCAAATGAACCTTCTTTACATGCATGTATGCGTTTGTTGTAATCATGATGTATTTTGGAGCATGAGGAAATGCAATAGATGTAACATCATCTCAAATAATTATCCAAAATTGATCATGCAGTAAAATGACAAGCTATAATTTTGGTTCTGTCTAATAACATTTTCATTAGACAAAACCATCTTTGATATTACAGGACATTGATACTGCCATCCCTTGTCCTAATTATCCTAGATGTAGCATGATGCGTTAGTTGTCATGCTACATCTGCATGCTTACATCTTGTTGATTTTTTGAGAACTAGAGTAACAGTTCTGATTGGTTGCTAGGCGTTTCCGTTTTTCGTGCTACACTATAGCTTTTTCATACATTGTTTCTTCGTCATGCCTTCTCCTCGTTATTTGCTTATGTATTCACTGGCCATTTCTATGTAGATTGGTCCTTTCCATGGGTCCCATGGCAGTAAGACAAGGATTAAAGTTAGAGTTCAACTAAATCTGCATGGCATTGTCACTGTCGAATCAGCTACAGTAAGTAAGAAGCCTCATTTTGATCTCTGTCCATTTTTTGTTACTCTCAGAGCTATTGTGATGTGCATAAACTTTGTCATGGTTTTAGATGCTTGAAGATCAGGTAGATGATATAAAGGGTAATGACCATTCAAATAATGAATCAATGGATGTTGACCCTATCACTAATGAGACAGTAGCAAATGGTGAGGACACTAACAATAGAAAGGATGAATCTTCTCATAAATCTGTGAGTATTATTGTCATCTCTCTGCCTCTGATTATTTTTCTTGTATGGAATCATGCAATAAATTATTTTTGTTTTTTTATTCATTTTTTATTCTGGAGCGAAATTTTGTCTTCTGTTGATAGCATGTCCATGTTTTTTTCCTACTTGGATATGGATTGGGTTACAGATATCATTCATATGGATGTTAGAACTTTGGAGTGAAAATTTGACTACTGTGCCTTTTCAGGCTGATTCTGTGAGGAAAGATAAAACTACCAAAAGACATGTGCCAGTGAGTGAGAACATCTATGGTGGAATGACCAAGGCTGAGATCTTGGAAGCTCATGACAAAGAGCTCCTGTTGACTCAACAGGACAGAGCTGTGGAGCGAACCAAAGAAAAGAAGAATAGCTTGGAGTCCTATATTTACGAGATGAGGAGTAAGGTACCTACTTGTGTTCATGAGACGTACACATATGACTGGTTTGTTATTCAGGGTACATTATTCATGCAGTCATCCAATTCATCTCCTTTGATACATGGTTTTGCTTTTCATGTGGTCATAATTACTTGATACTGACAGATCTCTCTTTCATTTTTCTGAAACGGTGAGACTAATAAGTTTATCAAATGAGATACCCTGTTCTGTAGTTAGTGAAGAACTGGTTTTTGAGACTGTGTAGAGTGCCAAGCTGTGGATGCCATGAGTTGAACACCCATTCCTGTCAAACATTTTTTCGTCTTTCTCCGTGCTACTTGTCATATACAAGCTTTTAAAACGTATGCGTCTATTTTCTTGATGGGTTTGATTTAAATATAAACTATATAATTGCATATATGGATAGCTCTTTGACACCTACCGGAGCTTTGCGAGTGACCAAGAGAGGGAAGGCATATCTAGAAGTCTGCAAGAGACTGAAGAGTGGCTTTATGAGGATGGTGATGATGAAACTGAGGTGGCTTACTCGAAAGACTAGAAGATGTAAAGAAGGTTTAATTTTACTTCTCCAATGCTGCTGCTTGTCTTTTTATACTCATGCATTTTTTCCCATCATAATCATAATATATATATATATATATCTTAATTCCTGTAGCTTGTGGATCCAATTGAGAATCGGTATAAAGATGAAGAAGCAAGAGCACAAGCTACAAGAGATCTGTTGAAGTGCATTGTGGATCACCGCAAGTCTGCAGATTCCCTCCTTCCCCAGGATAAAGAATTGGTACGTCAATACGCAAGCCAGTAGATATTATAGCGAGTCTGCTAAAAAATCCAAAGTAATTTGGCTTTGTTGTTTCAGATCATAAACGAGTGCGATAAAGCAGAGCAGTGGCTGAGAGAGAAATTACAGCAACAAGATTCCTTGCCTAAGGACAATGACCCAATTATATGGTCAAGTGATATTAAAAGCAAGGCGGAGGATTTGAAACTGTATGATGCTTGATCTCTCTGTTACCCTATTTGATACTCGTTATTTCCTGTTGCATGGGTCATACTGCTAGGAAAATTTATGTCAATGGTAAAATAACCTAAATCTTAGCGTTTTTAGGTGGAATAGTGAAAAGTCAATCTTGGAGATCGTCGATCTCTAAGCAATCGCCCCATAAATAACGTGTAGGATAGCATTGTGTGTGTGTGTAGAAAACATTGTTCCGCTCTCTTACATGTCGATCATCATGATTTTACTTCTTTCTTTTTTTTTTTGGGACCTGGGTCATCATGATTTTATTTCAGATTATCATCAATGTTATATTTGTGGCTGTCAGGTTGTGCCAACAGGTGCTGGGATCCAAGGGTTCGTCAACAGTTCCAGAGGACAAAGGCAAAGACAAGCCAGATACTTCCAGTCACCTTTGATGAATCTCTTGATATTGATAGGCAAAGACACAAATTTTCATTATACTCCTGACTAAATTTTCTTTCTTTCTTTTCTGGTTCTTTGTCTTTTTGTTCTGGAAAGTGAATAGGTTCAAGTAGGTGGAGTGATTAGGTTATATGGATCAAATATTTGTGTGTTCTAAAGGTTGCAACTCATTTTTGTGTTCTCTCATTTCTGTTGTTGGCACATCTAGAGTTGTCCACTGTACCTTTTCTGATGTCCATCCAACTCCAACCAGTTGAGCAAATACTTGGCGACGAAGTTATCAAAAAATTGTGCTTTATACTATTTAGGATTATGTATAGTGTTCTTGAGGCAAATGTTATGTTATCCATCTTTATCATGCAACTCTAGTTAACTGTTGACGAATTAACACCAAAAGCCATAGCGTTCCTATAATAATAAAATCAGACATTTAATGAAAGGAATGGATTAAGTATGAACAACTGCTTCAACCGTCATACAATGCTTATCTCCAAAGTTCAGTTTAAATTTTTTGGTTAAAAAAAAAAAGCTTAGTTTAATTTGGGTTTTGTTTCAAAATTTTTTACCAAATAAAATTATACATATTTATATATAAAAAATTGAAAAAAAAAATTGCCACAGCAAACCGCCTCTTTTTTTGGTGACAAAATTTATAAACAGCCTTCTTTATGATGCTTGTCACGCGTCAACAATTCTAAAGAATGTTCTACCGAACAAAAACACAATTATAAGTATTCTAGGACCCTTTCGTCTTTGCGAGAGGCACTTCTGAAGAGAATACACGTATAGGGGGATGCTTATACATGCACATATGAGCGCGTGTATTCATTTTTGTAGTCTGATTTTTATTTCCTCCCATTGCCTGCCTGACTTCGTCTACCTTGGTTAGTCAAGTTATTTGCTGATATGCCTGTATGTACTTGAGTCTTGAGCTCATACTTCACATTCTCAACTGAATCCCAGTCACAAATTAAATCAAAACCACTGAACTTACCACTTCAACGTGCAATTCTTCAACTTCATACGTTCTTGCCAGTTTCTTTAAGCTTCGGTCCCCCTGGATTAAGACATCAATGATGACTTTAGACAAAGTCCCATTGGTCATCAACTTTCTGGCTTGCAAGTCAACTCTTAGTCTGCCATGTTCTTGAGCTGCTAAAACGCATTGAAACTGCAAAGAACATTCATGATTATCAGGAAAATTCAACATCCCAGACGTCCACATCTGGAAATATACATGCATGAGAAGAAATTTCAGACAATCTAGGGCCTTGGTCCATCTTTGTTGGGCACTGTTGACCAGTAGGACCACAACTCTAGAATCTACAGAACCACTTGGGTAGCTCTAGAAGAACTCGGCATAGGGAATTCGGTCGACATCAAATGGCCCTAGATGACAGGGAATTGTTTGTGTGAATTTTATCTCGGTCACTTCACCATGCAACAAGAGCCCCGAATCAGATTCCGCGCGTGTTAACTAGCTGTTTGCCAATTTCCTCAACACATAAAAAGAAGCCGGTGGTAATTGAACCAAAATCTTGCCATGAGATCTATGACTAATGTGCATGATGTGGGAAAGACAGACAGGAACCAACGGCTTTACACTAAGATTCAGTTCGTTTTCTTCTTGGCACTGGTTCCCTTCTTTGATTTTTTGAATCCTGATCCACTTTCCTGCAAAATTCAAAGTCATTCAGAGCCAGATCCATCCCGCAAATACAGCAATCACTAGAGGATGCAATTCACATTTACCCTCCGATAATGCCTATAAGCAGCTCGGCCTGTCAACTCCTGCCCATCTTTGGTGACATATACCTGCAATGAACAGAGGATCAAGATCTCACGTAATATGCCAAACTATGCTTTGAACTAATAATCGCATATTTAAGCCATTCACTTGACAAATTTCAATTAATGATAACTACAAGATAAATGCAAGCCAGCAGCATTAGCATTATTGCCATTATATGTTCAAATAGTGAAGACAGTCTAATATATTGCTGTACAAGCCATCAAAATTCAACATTTAAACCTTCATCAAAACATAACAACTACATTTGGACATGGAGAAGTTTGCTGGTGGTTAGAAGAGCCATAACATGCAGTGAGCATAACTGTCAGCAGTATTGAGAAATTTGAAAAGCAATAACCAAAAACTATCCATTATGCATTGATTATAAAAAATACTCCTTCAATCCTTAATGTAGGATCTAATTAGAGAGTTGATATCAGTCTTATATGTAAGACTTATTCAACATGTTTATCAATTTTTTTCCAAATTAACCTTATTGATATTCCCCCAATAATGATCAAATAAGAGAGGGATGGAGGGAATTAAGAAAGATACTTAAGTGTCTTAGAAAAAACATATCATATTAAATAATTTAACTAATATTCTTAATCTATTCAATTAATTAATGAGATCTTACATTAAGAACTAGAAGAGTAGAATAGCCAACCTAGTGCTACATATTAAAATATATAGCAATTGAAGCAATGGTATCTTACAGAATGCCAGACCCACAAAAAAAAAAAAAAAGGGCAGAATGAGAGTAACAAAGTTATTGTCTAGATGTTGGCATATACAAAGGTAAATTAAGGGCATTGTGTTATACTAGAAAGGAATTCCAAGGATCAAATCACACAGCACTATTTCCACCGAAGACAAAAATCATGATACGTGATGCTCCTACATTTCACTATATCCATTAGTATCCTTAACAGCATACAAGAAGGATTTTCCTCACATGATAATCATAAAGTTACCATTTTTTAATCAATCAGTAGACATCATTTCTATAGCCTGAATGTGCCGTCAGTCAAGTGAATAATTTCAATTAGTTGACCACATTAAAAACACTAAACAAAATATGAAAGTATCAGTCTGGCCTCACCTTTCTTCCATCTGGTGCCGTAAACCAATGACCCACAGATTTACCCTTTGCTTGAACACGTCTTCTGCCTGCATCCTTCGGCCTGTTGGCACAGTTCTTTGGTTCCACCCAATTTGCAGAAGCATGCAAGATTTCTGAAGAAGCAGGCATGTTTGCTTTACTTTTTCCCTTTGACGAAGTTTTTGTTTTACTTCTTTTGGCTGCTGTCCTCTTAGAAGATTCCCCACCGCCTAAAGAAGAATTAATTTTCGGAGTCACCCACCCAGCCCCCAGAAGCATGAACAGTTCTTCAACAGCCACTTCTTTTGGTTTCTTTCTTCCTCTAGTCGAACTTTTCTCAACACAACCATTCCGAACTTCCTTTCTTTTGGAAGCTTCTCCATTGCCAAATTGTCCCCTGAAATCAAAATAAACCCATAATGCATCATAGCCTCCAGAGATTAGTCTATCATTTTTAAAACTAATACCAATAGATGCCAATGGTCAGATAAAAAGTCAACGGAATGTACATGTAATCAATATGTGATGCGTTAGGTTGGTGGTTCACTTTGTCAACACCTAGCGGATAAAAATTGCACAGGCGACTTCGAACTAATTGCCTAATTCTTGGATCCTTGTGGAAAAAATATTGATGGGCTGGAGGAGGTGGATAAGCTGAATTCCATATTTGTTCATTCCTTTGACAGCTAGTGGACTCAAACAAGCTCTCATTGTGACTTGTGGATACTGGTGTTTCCACGTCTTTGTCCATTGCAGAACGGAAGTATTCTTCACAAACCTCATTCAGTGCAGGTGTTGGAATTGAAAAGCTCTTCACTGGAGAGAAATCTTTCCATAGATCCTGATTTTGGTGCCTCCTAATTGATGCTTTTCTACTTTGGTCAAAAGAAGTTACAAATTCGCTTGACTTACATGATGGTTCCTTGAAGCATGGATCAATCTTGTGGCCACCCCTAACATCTTCACTTACAGGCTCATCAGAATCAGAATCAGAATCAAGTAACTGAAACCTACGAAGAGGACTAGTTGTCAACTTTGGAAACATCAACCCACTCTGGCCCATCTCCATTGGGCAGAACCCAGGATACCTCCTGAAGATTCTTTTATTTTCCTTTCTTTGCAGTTTCCAGATGAATGAGTAGTTAAAACTCCAGACCCATTCAATGAAACTTTGGAGCTGCTACATAAAGGTTGATTCCATTTTGATGGGCGTGCTTGACCTGACATGGAAGAAGCACAATAAATTTAGTGACAAATAAAGCATAAGCAAATCAAAATATGATTTGAAATTTGCACACAGGGAAGAGTAACTATAATGCAAGGACTGAAATATGGAGTTCATCGAACCATGTCCATTAACAGATGTTATAATCGATAGGGTTTGGTATTTCACTGTATTAAAAGGTGATAACAATTTATATGGCTGCACCCATGAAGACCGAAATATTCTAAACACCTAGAGAGGCCTAATTACTTGAACTAATGAAGTAGTTCTCAAATCATATATCCTAAAGAACCACCGAATAGTGATAAAAAAAAAAACTAGAAGGATCGAAGGAAAGAGAATTTCCAAACCCCCATCTCTCCTTCGGGAACGCTATTAAGTTCAGTTCGAAACAGGTATTAATTCAATGAGACTTCTTTCAATATTGTCCCTGCCTCCCGACTATATAAAAAGATCAATAAATGCACAACAAAGTACTGACCCATTCCAATCAAG